TAATTAAAAAATTGAATATAATAATAATATTTAAAAAAATTTAATCTTTAAAACTAATAATTTTTTAAAATTAATTAGGACCAATTAGGACCAATTAGGATTTTTACCAACCTTATATATTACAATTAAGATCAAAGTATTCTGCTACCTTATTTTTTTTTTATATTTTTTTGCATAGGTAATGATCTGTATTTTTTATTCAATAAAATATAAGGTTTGTTTATATTTAATAATTTTTTGGTTTTATGAACTTGTTTTCTTTTATATTTTAGTATTTTTTACAAAAAATAAAAAAATTAGAATGCTTAGTAATAATTAAAGCTTGTTTATATTTTAATATGATAAGCTAATAATCAATATGATTAATAATTACAAGATTTGTGTTAAATTTGACAAATTCCAAGTTTCTAATTAAATTTAATTTAAATTATCACTATTTTTTTCTTTTTTCAAAGGTGAAGTTTTGATTATATATTAAAATACTTGAAAATAAGCAACCTTATAGCAAAAATATGTTGCTTATTTTTGGAGGAATATGGTAATATGATAAGTTTTTATATAAGATTATATTTAATGTTAAGATAATTTGTACTATCTTTATATTTTTATATTTAATTGTATTAACTTTACTAATCATTATATTAATTTTGTATTTCCTATAAAAATTATAAAAATTTCTGGATATAGGTATACCTTTTATTGATCTGCAACTAGATTATATGGTAAGACTTCTCTAAATACACTCCCCTTAGGACCATAGTGAAATTTGAAAAAAAAAATATGTATTTAAAGAGGGTGTGCATTTAAAAAGAGAAATTTTGTATGATTTTTATATAATTAGGGCTGTGTGAAATGTGTATTTATAGAAAAATATATATGTATGCATTTAGGGAGAATGTATTTAAAGAGTGTCTCACTGTAGTACCGTACCATCTTTAATTACAATTAAAATTATCATTATAAAATTAATATTTAGATAATAAATTGAATTAGTTATAATCTAATCTAAAATTAAGTTTAATCAGCAAATTAATTTAATAAAAAATTATCTTTTTATTACTGTAAATAAAAACAATTTAAAAATCCAAAAAAAAATAATTAAATAAGCTTTATTCTCTTAATTAATTAACCTTTTGAATAAGGAAAAAAAGTAGGAAAAAAACAACAAATGTAGGATTCAAATATAAAAATTATTGATCTATTTAGACGAATTTTGCAATCAATTAATTAATGAGATATGGAAACGTTTCCAGTAAACTCAAGTCATGAGGCATAGTAAATCATATGGGACCTTTGCAATAGAAAGGGGGGAAACTGCCGGGAAAAATTAATTTTACTTTATATGCCAAATATGATTTTTATGCTGAAATATGTTCAAATTTAGCATTAACTCACTTTTGATTTTTTCGGCTGTTTCCCCTCTTTCTATTGCAAAGGCCCCATATGATCCGTAATGTGATTTTACTGGAAACACTCCCATATAGTATCCGAATAACTGGAAATAACTATTACCATCATTTTTAAAGAAAACTTCGGTTCGGTTCAGACTATTTCCGGATCCCCAAACCGAGATCGAACCGAATTTAACCCGAACTGTTCGGACTTTGTTTTTGAACCGAGATAATTGATTTAGCCCCATGGGCGCCCCTTGAAAGAGAATTTTAACGTAGTGCGACATACTTTCATGACGATCATATGATCTTGATAAGTTTATATTTTTGCGTGGGTAAATATCAAAACGAATTAATGGAATTAATGTAATCAACGATGCATTATCTTTATTGATTAAATTGATATTTAAAACAAAAAAAAAAAAAATTATAACGAATCCAATGAATTGACTCAACTAATTTAAACATACGTTCAATATTTTTTCGACGATGCATTTCGTCAATTTTTTAAATTTGAAAATCATACTCGTTTTATTAATCACGATACTTTTCAGTGCGTCCTGGTATGGGCGATGATCCTATGAAAGGAGCGCCAGGAGATATACCAGAAACAGGTGGAATAATTCCGAAAGGATTGACAACAAGTGGCTTAGTTTTTAGGTGGCGGTGATCCAAAATCTGGTGAAACAATTCCAGGATTGACTTGGGAAAGGTCTTATTAAGTCAACTTCAAGAACAACCACTAAAAAGGCCAAAATCTCAAATCTCAAAAGGTTCCACAAAATAAAGAACCTTCGCCCAAACTAAATCAAGTTGTAAAGGTTCCACCTCGAGCTGGTCCGGGAGGAAGTAGTGAAGCTCCAACTTCAGGAAGTCAAAATGAGTTACCAAGCGAAGTTTTTATAATTTTAACAGATTTTATCGTATTTAATTCGCACTGATTCTCATATATATCATTATAGAAGATGCGCCACCACCAATTTCCGATGTTCGAAAACTTCCATGGCAAAAAAAGAGGAAGCATGTATTTTGGTCAGGTGAGAATAAAATTAAAAGGAAAGAAAAGGAAAGAAAATATTTTAGCCGATTCATTTCTAACATAAAATTATTTAAATTATAATAGTGGTCCTCCTAATAATACTTTAATTACGCCGAAAAGCAAACAACGTATTTCATGGAATCAATCTCCTTGTCAAATGTTGTACAACGGAAGCTCAAAGAAAAGTGACTTGTCAAAAAGAGATTATTCACCAAACGGCAAGGTAAATTATCACATTTTAATGCAGATTTAAAGTTTTTTTTATTCACTTTAAATTTTTTTATGCTTTGTAATTAACTGAATTGCACGATATGTTAGCTATCATATGACTGGGGACCGTATCCTATTGCAATAATCTCACAAATACAACTAACAATTATGATTGGTAATTTTCTTGCTATTATTATTTATCATTACTTGCCATTATCATTACTATTTTTATCACTATTGCTATCATTATTACCGGTATTACTACTATTATTATTGCTATCTTGATGATGATTCTAAATTTAGCAAATCCATAAATTTGTAAAGGATTGTACCTTTCCTTTTATGATGACCGAAAAACAAACGCGTCAGATTTCTATGTGCGCGTAGAAACTATTTCGCACTCTGGGACCTTCGGCGCCACTCCCCCATTGGGAGGAACGTATGGGCCAACTGCTATTGAACTACACGAACATTCGGACGATAATACGGAAAATATCTCTAGTGGTCATCAGTTATCATTACCTTCGGCTATTATTCAATCATGGGTCGGACTAATAATTGCGTTAATACAAAATTTTTATCTGAATTAGGATCAAAAAAAAAAAAGGGATGAACTAACCTCTATAAAATAAAAGTGGGCAAACAGATCATCAATACCATCATCAAATTTTGCCGAATATTCTTTGCAGCTTTGTTTGTGGCGTTACGTGTGATCATTCTGTAAAACCGTGGCTCGTACCCCATCAAAAAAAGGGTGTAAAGACGGTTATATGGTTTTTCCTTTCGGCTAAACATTTAAGCGTATCATTCATACCCTCCCGAGTAAAGCAAAATTCACTTTAAGAATCTACAATAGCATACCACGTTAAAGAGTTAGACTATTTTAAATGGTCATTGTTTTACGATGTTGATCCCTTCAAAATTTTTTAAAAACGTGATCTACAAACAAGTTCAAATTTTGCTTTCTATAGAGAACAGTTACTTGTCGATCATTATAACGACATGGCGTAAGCACAGAACATTAAAATTATGAAAATCCTATTTTATACAGTAATATGTGGAATATTCAACTATTAATAATTGTCATTATTCCTTTGAGAAAATCTATTGTTACAACCTCTGAATGATTTTAAGAATATCGGAACTCTCCCAATCAAGCAAAAAAGGAAATTGTAATACTTAATTTGGAAAGGATCGAAATTTTGTTTGATTATTACAAAATTGGTACAGCATAGAAGGTTGATGATTTCATTTTACTTTGACACGTTCAAAATGACTCGGATCAATTTTTTTTTTTGTAATAAGACTGTGGCTTATATGTAGAAAAAAAAAAAGTATATCTACCTCAAGCCTTCCCATGAATTCGCCTCACATCAAAAAAAAAGCATTACGTTAAGTTTCTTTTTTTTCAAAACGGAAAAAAAAAAAAAAAATAAATAAAGTACAAAAAAAAATCTATAAACTATTTATATTTTAGACTTTATATAAATTATTTCGGTAATCTTTTTTTTTTAAAAAAATGAATACATCATCACATGATCAGCCAAGTAAACCTCAAAAAAAGAGAGGAAAAATCAACATTGTAGCATGTGATAGATGTAAACGTGATAAAAAAAGGTGTGACGGGAATTATCTCACTCAAAAAACCTGTGAATATTGTCACAATCATAACGAAGTTTGCGTTTACTCGGAGCCAAATTTCTTGAGGATCAGTCGAATTTTAAATGCTGCGGCGAAAAATGCAGCTGCGGAAGAACAAGAATCAGATGATCGCGAGAAACTTCAAAAACAATTAATAGAACACGAAAATACTATAATCAATTTATCAAATCAACTCGGAATGAAAAGTAAATCTGATCAATCGAATACATTGAACAACATTGAAAAACTTTATATTTCTTTATTCGCGAATCCCCAAATTTCAATCGAACAAACAATTATCTTAAAGAGATTATGTGAAATCACCCACATCCCCATAAATATGAATGTCTATGGTAATGAAATTCGAAATAAATTGTCAATCCTTGAATCAAATGTCGTAACTGATGAAGAGAAAAGACAATGTTGGGAAGAACTTGATAAATTTATTAATATGTACAATGATAACGTGTTCAATAAAATTATGCAAGGGGGCGCTGCCTCGAATATTTTTGGTTTTTCTTACCCTTCCGGGTCTACTACGCCCATTCCATCCCCCCAATTTTTAGTAGAAGAGTTTAATACGTCAAATGATTTAAATGATTTGCTTTGTTCTGACTTTCAACCCCCTAGCGATTTTGTTGAATCAACGTATGCCACCACAATCAACCCCGTTACCACTCCTAAAAAACGTAACGTTCGCAAGACTAAAGTTTTTGAAAATAGTTACGAACCATATCCATCAGGAGGTCACATCGCTATTAGACCATCAAAAAAAGAGACCAATATCATGGTTTGGCATCAAAACGATCAAAGTGAAGACATTCCTATATTTGCCGTTGATGCACCTCAAAATAAAAAATTACCCGCCGAAACCTTACAAAATCCAAACGTTCAGTTTGATAATTCCGACAAAGTTTTACAATTTCAAGCGTCAAACCTTCTATTGTCCTCTAACTTACCATATGGTTTTGATAAAGTAGGACAATTTTCAATTGTAACTTCGCCCACATTTTCTTCGAGTGAAAGTTATAATTCAGATGATAATTTTGAATATCCTACCTTCTTATCAGATTCTGTAACATTAGGTTCGGACGAAAACTGGTTAGAAGCCTTTCCAAATTCATCAGGTTCTTACAATAAAATTTTTTATTAAATTCATAAATGATAAAAATCATAATCATAAGTTTTAAGATAAGCTGTAAATAACAAAGACTTTTTTAATATAGAATTTATAAATTTGAAATGTATAATTAAGTAAACTTTTTAGTTAAAAAAAAAAAATATGTATAATATAAAATACAAATTTACGCTGACATTCATTATTATAATTAAGTAAATATATATAGATATATATATTGTTTAAACCCCTATTATATAAAATATAGATTTATGAATCAAAATAATAAGTATTTTTTTTAAAAAAAAAATTAAGCATGGTTAAGTGTATTTAAATTTAAAAATAAAAATAAAATTTTCCCAAGATAAAAAAAAAAAAAAAAAATCGTGACACGATTCGATTTTTCAATCTTATTATTTAGATGTCAAGATTGTCAGATTGAAGATTGTCAGATTGTATTACAATCAAGAATTATAGCGTGAAATATACGCGTAAATTGAGTAGAAATATTTATTAAAAAAAATAATAATTATCATAATCATAACATAATAAATAAAGAAGTTTTAGCTAAATATACGAAAAATCCAAACTTATTTATAGAAAATGAAATCATAATTGATGAGAACAAGCGAAAAAGCCTTAAAAAAAAAACAACCAATAAATAAAAAAAAATTACATAACCCATGATTGATTCTTAACCCTGTTATATAGAGAATATCTCCGATAAATATATTAAAAAATATATATATGTATATTGTTTGAAACGGCAGTAATAGATGATTTGTTGTAAAACGCGTTGAATTGGTATCTTAATGGAATATATGATGTTATTTCGATCGATATAATGTTATTAATACCGAGTTATATCTTTGACCCGAATTATAATGAATTTTACGGTTATAAACATTGATGAAAAACGGATTCGTTGGAATTATTTATAATACAGCGGATATTCACATGTTGATTAAATTATTACGTCACGATGTAAATAGATTCTGAAACATCAAAAAAAATTGTTTTTATGTCATTGAAGTGTTCATTAAAATGATATAATTACAGCTTGTGCACTAATATATACATACATGAGGATGAATAGGTAGAAGAGGAAGGTGAAGATGAAGAAGATTGCTTGGACTGGTTGGACTGGAACAAATCAAGCACCGAATTCTTTTCTGCTTCAGTAAGTAATTGGTTTTTTATAATCATCTGACGAGCAGATTCCCAGGAATCATTTTGACCTTCTAAGCTCATAATTCTACAAGCTTCTTTTACGACCAGTGCTACTACACGTGCTCGGTTTGAATCTTCTTCTGATGGATTCATTGTGGCCATTTCGATTTCTTTTATTGGCATTATCTTTTTGCTTGCTATGTTTATTTTTTATTTTTTATTTATAATAAAAAGAGTATCGTATAGATATTATATTAGTCAAAACAAAGGAAAAAAAAAATTTGAAAACAAAATATTCGGGTATTTGATAAGAAATTAATTATTAATTACCAGTTTCGTTATTAAACTTAAGTTAAATTTGGTGAGTTGCAAATATCAATTTTTTTTTATATTTGTTTTAAAAAAAACCAATTGCAAACAAAAAAATGTCAAGTTCTGTAAAGAATGTTATTAAAAGAGTGAAAGGCCCAAAAAAAATCAAAATTATATTGAGGAAAAAAAAAGATACCAGAAAATCCAATTTCGACCCTGTGTTATTGATGAAAAACGCGAACCATTTATGTCAACCTTTTAAGTCAATCAAATTCATTAGAGCGAAAGTATTTGAATTTGAACATTAAAATCAGCCGATAGAATCTAGGCTTGATCTAGACTCTCAAGTGCAGAAAAAAAATGTCGAAATTTTCCTTTTATGGAAGTTTGTTTATTTGTGATATGCATTACGACTATTTCGCATTCATTCATAAGGTAAAGTTCGGATACGTTTAAAAAAAAACCCCCTATATAACATATCAAGAAGCCACAGTGATCACAACAAATTTTGTCAATAATTCGCGTAATCTTTTTGACCGGCATTATAATGGTACATGAATCTTGTCTTGTGTGCATGCTTCATACAAGTGTATGTGTATCCAATTATCATCTAATAATGTTAAAGATAATGATTCATTAACAAACAAAACAATGAATCTATTGTCTTGAAATATCCTGAAATAACAAACACAACGTTAAAACGGAAAAATTAAATAATATATCGATTGTCCGAACGCGGTCAATTGATCGGCATGTATTTGTTCTAGGCCTCGCTCGACCCTATCATATTATGATTATCATGCATCTTTACCATGGAAATAACATCTCCCTTTCTAATGGGAATAATATGATTTTCATTATTTTCGTTTTTTGGGAAATTCATTGAGGTAGGCTGAAAATATTATTATGTATACGGTTACTACGAATATATATATAAACCATCTTTATATAAATTAAACCAACAATCTATCATTCTTTCGCGTCTTTCTCGTAAGATGATCTGTTTTCGGTTATTTGTAGATAGGTGATACCATTATTTTTAAATATTCGTTATCATAAACCATGAAATAAGCTTCACAATTCTCTTCGTAATTCGCGGAAGTGGTTTCCGATAGATTTGAAAAAAAAAGATTAAACGTGTATTTAACAATTCATATCCATCAATTGCTAACGAAATTCATTTAAAATTTTTAACCTTTTAAAATATTTTAATAATCGTGAATAATCGATATTGTCGCAACAATTCTACAATTTATATTTTGATTATTTTACTAATAAATATTTAATATTTAAGTTTTAATGTTAATACAATTTAAACTTTATTTCTTGTAAATTTCAATACCCCTTTTTTAAAATACAACGCCTTTTATATTAAATCAACTTTCCCCCGTTGTTAAAGTAAGAAAATTGGATGTATTAAACCGATTTTTTTTTCTTTTGTTCTCTGTTATCGTCATAATTAAAGGATTTAGATACAACAACAAAAAAAATATTTTTATAAATAAAAGTTGAGAATTTTATTTTTATTTTTATTTTTTTAGTTTCTCTATATGTTAATAATAGTTTCTTCTAGTTCCACTAGCAATTCTAACTAAGAATAAGTCAGAATAGTATACATTCTTACCATTTATTTTGACGCTCGGTTATTTATATTTATTTTTCTTTGGGTTTTCCTAGAAATCTTAGCTTAGGATATTAGGCCAGCTCTAATGATATTGGGGCAAGCAGTAGTTCTCGGAAATTCGGTATTAGTATTAAAAATCATCCTCCAACGTAGTGTTGTACAATTCCCACCCAAGAATTTTGGCATTTTATGTTTTGTTGTCTCCATGTCACAGATGCGAGATAAAACGTTACTTGATAATTTTCATCCAATCAATTTCGTAATATAAAATACAAAAGTTAGTATTGGATAAAACATTGTCTCGATGCAGCTTATTATATATATATATATTTTTTTCTGTGACAGGTATGGTAAATATATGTACCGAATGTATCTTACTATTTTGTGTATCAACAAAACTTCTTCAATAATTGAGTCATCTTATGTGCCCTTTTGATTTCACATTAATATAGGTCAAGATATATAATTTTGGGGAAAATAATTCGCAAACTTTCGAGAAAATCCGGGATTCGAGTTATTTTTACAGAACCAATGGCACTTGCATACATTCACGTGATTATAGTCAGAATTATAAAGACCAATTTAAAAGTCAAGGGATAGGAAAAGTCATGTTTTATATTGTATCGCTATACTCCGACGTAGCGATAACGTTAAAGTTTTTTCTTTTATTCCTATCTCGGCCGTCCCGTGACTTTTTTAATTTGCTGTTAAAATAGTATTAAAATATAATTTTGATACATATACTTACTTGGTCTTAATGTTTTACTAAATGATGTAATTGAAAAATTATTGTTTGATAAGTATATCAATCGTACATTATTTTCATATTAAACTTGAAATGTGTGTTCACTTGCTTCTTTATACATCAAGCAACTAAATTAATTGATAGAATACCAAATGCATTATTAGGTTTAATCAATATTTTCGTGCTTTAGTAATTTATATTTCTCCAACATGTGTTTAAAGCTATAAAATTTATACTTTATATTACAAATAATAAGTTACAACCTTTGTAGTTAAATAATTACTTTACTTTTATTTAATAAAATTTATAAAAAAAAAACTTTATATTGCAAATTCAAATTTTTTATTTTTTATTTTTTATTTTATTATTATTATTATTAATATATATGATTAATATAATTATAAATATATACCTCATATATAAATATATTGTTACTTGTCTAAACACTTTTGGATTTGGCTAAATGTCTAAACCTTTAATTTTACTAAATTTTTACTAAGTGTTTAATATAGTTTTGCTATTTTTATAAGCTTTGATATAACGTATCTTTTTCTGAATTTTGTAGATTTTTTAATAAGATTATAATATAATTTAACCAAGATTTATCTTTATTATTTAAACATCTGACTAAACTTTATAAAAGTATCAATAATATAATATTTTAACTAAAGATAATACTGTAATTAAGAAATTACAATTTGGTAAGTTGTAATTTCTTGTAAAATTTATTTTAATATAAAAATTTATAAATAGTTGCAATATAGGGCAAAAAGGGATTTCTGGGATAAATCTTCAAATTGCTTCTGAATACATTCTAGCTATATGAATCAATTATCGAATTTAAACCTCCAGTGTGATTTGACTCAATTCTAGATGATGATATCAAACTTAGCTTAGAATTAACCTTTAGATATCAAGATTATACTGTTTGATATAGCCATTCTAGCCTGATTTTAATCCCAAATAATATATCAAAAATTTTTACTATTCTGTTTACCTCAGAAAGAGTCATTGAAAATCAAGAAACAAAGTGACGCAATTTGAGCTGGACCTGACATTGCAAACTCAATATGAATAATAACTTTTATGCTATTCTGCTTGCCTCTAGAGGGGCCATTGAAAATCAAGAAACAAAGTGACACGATTTGAGCTGAGCCTGATCATGCAAGCCTAAAATGCATATCATATTTTAAGTCTCACCTCTAAATCATACCTCTAAGTCGCACCTATTATCAAGTTTCACCTCTAAGTGCGGAAAAAATCAGAATGAAAAGCTGAAAGAAGCCTAAAATACATACCTCTAAGTCACACCTTTTATCAAGTCTCACCTCAAGTCAATTTATATCCATTAGCACTATACATGAAGTTAAAATAAAAATCCAAAAAGTTGAAATGTTTTGATTTTAGAGGTTAAAGTCGAAATGAAAAGTCAAAATGGTCAAAATTACGTCATATCACATGATTTTATATATAAAAAAAACAAAAAAAACAAAAGATGTATGATCTCGATCAATATTGCTCCGATTCATATGAAACAATAACCATTCAATTCCTCGCGATTAGACAAATCTAATGAGCTAACATTAATTGATTTTGGATCATCTCATCTCGAGATATTTGCAATCGTATTTCGAAATCCAGACTTTTTTATTTAAAGTAGAATTTATGGATTTATAATTTCAGCTGATAATACAATTGTGAATATCTCGTGATTGGATGATCTAAAATCAATGAATGTTAGCTCATTGGATCTGCTTAGTTTCGAGAAATCGAATGGTTTTTTTAACGATGTAGTACTGTCATAAGTTTATTAAATTTTTATATGTTATTACAATAAAATTAAAATAAAAAATAAAGTAAAAATAAAAAGACAAAACTATGACTATCTCACGTGATTCTATTA